CCCCCCCCGAAAAAATTCAGTTGGGGGTTGGGAAGGCCAATACCTGATCTGACTGAAGGCCAATGCTAGATCTGACTAAACTCACATGTGCGTAGAGTCTGGATATCGGTGAGAGGTGACTGCTACGTTGACGCGCGTACAGTATGAAAGTAGGTAATAATTGATAACTAATAATGATCATTGCTATGACAACTTACTTTCGACTTGACGGCATCTGTATTGGTAGGAATTCTTTTGATTACAAAGTGGATCACAGACATCTTTTGTTCGTGAGGCAGGAGCCCAAACACTACCAAGGGTTTACTCGCATCATAAGAATCTATCAAATTATACAATATGAAAAACAAGACTTGCTCAACGAACAACATTGTTGTGTTGCAAATGGCTGAGCAAATGTTGCTTGTTTTACCACTCAACGCGCAACAAATTTTCATCGTTGCAAAGAGCAGAAAAGAGATTTTCTGCTTCGCGCAACAGTGAAACTTTGTTGCGCGACAAGTTGCGCATTTTTGTTGTTCGTATTTCACCACCTATAGAGTAGCACAAGACTTAACCATGTGGGATGTTAGAGTAGCACAAGACTTACCCATGAAGGCTTTGGGGACGTTTATGATGTGAATAGTCACGTACCACCCTTCCTAATGAGAAATAGGAAAGTAATATGGTCGTTATCTTCAAGGTTTGGTACAAATAGAGACTTTGGAATCGTCTATTTGGGTTCGGCAGGACTTGTTATTATGGTTATAGCAACAGTAAGAAATGATAACGATGGCAATGATGAGGACGATAATAACGATATATCGCGCTGTTGTTGATAAAGATAACAATAAGATGACGACAATGAAGATGATGATGGCAAAACTGATGATGACTGATTGTCATGATAAAAATTGTGAAGATGATAATGATGATGATGATGCGGTGGTGATGATGATGATGGTGATGGCGAATACGACGATGATGATGAGGATAGTGGTAATAATTATTACGATGATGATGATGATGCATGATGATCATGAGGATGGTATATGATGATGATGCATGATAATTGTGTGAAGATGACGATGATGCATGATGATTGTATGAAAATTATGATGATATTACTGACATACCTCGGCTCCCTCGACTACATCTTCAYCCATGACGCGCTTTCTTGTCCTGTTGAAGCTCTGGAACTGAAATATCCTGCAAACCAATGTACAAAACACAAGGTGTTCACTGCTTGTTTTATGCCTTCGGGAGATATTTCACACAATACCCACATGATGCCGCTATGTCTTGGCTTGTAATGCAATCAAAAAGTAAATAAAAAAACGATGTGAAAGAGAAGTACCTTGAATAATCTTGAGGTAGATTTTCCTTGGGATCCCACGGAGAAGTACGAAAACTCTTGAGCCCACGATACCTAACAGCCATAAATAGCAAGAAAATGTAAATATTCTCCTTAGTTTGTGAGGTCTTATTTCAAATGACTAACGTGAACCAATCAAATTGAGGCTTACTTCTGAAATCTAGTACGTGCTGGGACATTCATGGGCGTGTCCATCTCATCCGGGAACATTTCGTTCTCATGCTCTGCTCTGATTTTCTCTAACCTTTAAAAGTCAAGATCGTATTACTAGTATCAAAGGCAGTAAGGCGATGCCTGCGCACAGAGATGGTTCCCTTAAGCCTGGGCAACAATCTCTACAAGCTTTCGTAAGTAATAGTCCATCAAYAGAGAGTTTATTTAGAGAGCTTAAGATCTCTTTTACGGCAAACGTTAAACATCACTTTGAACAAGTGAATGAAACTAATCAAACAATCCGAAACAAAGCAGTTTCTAGATCTTTCATAACGGTAGTTTTAGCTTTTTTTGGAATTAAGGACGATATGGCGCTAGGAAGTTCATTTTTGTTCGCCATAGACAAAGAAATGAGTCAATTATTAAGTAGAAGGAACAATAAAAACAAGAGAATTGATGGAATACGGTTAATTGGCAATATATTCTGGGATTAGGTCGTTCACTGGTGTTAAGGATGTTGTTGATAGTGATGCCATGTTGTTGATGATGATGTTGATGATGCTGTGGTTGTTGTTGATGATGCTATTGTTGTTGATGCTGCTGCTGTTGTTGTTGTTGTACGTTCGTCATGATGTCGTTGTTGATGATGCTGTGGTTGTTGTTGATGATGCTATTGTTGTTGATGATGCTATTGTTGTTGATGATAATACTGTTGTTGTTGTTGATGCTGTGGTTGTTGTTGATGATGCTGTTGTTGTTGTTGATGATGCTGTTGTTGTTGTTGATGGTGCTGTTGTTGTTGATGATGCTGTTGTTGTTGTTGATGCTGTGGTTGTTGATGATGCTGTTGCTGTTGATGATGTTGTTGTTGTTGTCGATGATGCTGCAGTTGTTGCACGTTCGTGATGATAATGACGTTGGTGTTGATGATGCAGTTGTTGCTTTAGCTACCTATTTCCGCAGTTGACGATGATGATGACGTAACCGTTGACGTCGTTGTGGGTGTTGTGGTTATAGGTTCTGTTGATGATGATGCAGTTGTTTTTTCACATATTGATTGGTTTCAGACTGAGCAGCTGCACCAATACCCCACATATGTAACCTAAAACCTAATAACATCCCAGTATTATTCCCATACGATAGTTATAGTCTAACTCACTGCAGGCGTTCCTCGTCGGCGTCAATAGCCTCGTCGTATTTACTATTATCTGTTTCCTGTTCTGACACGCTAATCTAGATACAATAGAATAATGAATGCCCATTAGAATTTATCAAAAAAGCCATTACTTCGATTTTCTCAAACTGTGCTCCCTGTATTCACAGGACGGCTGCTAAACTAGGAAAAAACGTGCAGTGCGCGGCAAGGTCACGAGATACCTTGAACCAATCAAAGCACGCGGGATTAGCAGAGCACTCGCGAGGTAATCGCCACGTTCATGACAAGGCGAGTTCGCGTTCGTCCTGCAGCTTTTTCTGAAAGGGTCATACGAAAGCAACACATCACGTTTCCATGGTGATGCGCAATGCACCCTGGTCTAAACAAAATGGCGCCATATTTAACTAAGCGCGCTATTAAAACTACTAAGAGTTTGGATCCCCAAGGCACAAAAAATGATAAAGACTTTCTTGTATTCCTTACCGTTTCATATTCTTCATCATCTTCCATTTTCTAAAGATAGAGAAGAGATAATGACGTCACACCACAGGGATATCACACTATGCTAGAACAAACAAAAACCCTTTGCCAAGGTGCTTTCAGGTTTGACTAGATTGATAACAAAATGGAACAGAAACGTTTTGGAACGCCACCGCCTTCGATGTCTTAAACTCAATATTTTTATTTTTTTGCAAAAAAGTTTGTTCGGTTAAACCACTTATCAACGCCACAATCATAGAAGCACAATATAGATCTAATTATTTCATCCTTGAGATCATATTTGGTAAGTTCTTATCTCTTTTTGCTAGAATTTAATATAATATCATACGTGACCAATAGGCAAAAATAACAGTGAATTCTTAGTTTTCCCTTAGCGTTACAAAGTGGTTATGATGCTAAACAAACTGTGTTGAGTATTAAGATAATCACCTCTAGGCATAATCAAAAACAATTTTTAAATCATCTTATTGACATAGATATAAAACGCGGATAATAAAATACAATAGATTTTCTGAATACATTATATCCCCTAAGAGCTATGTAGGTTGTCCCTATATTTCCTGTAACTAAACTATGATATTTAGCACATTAGTACAGCATTACAGTTGATAAATGTTATATTAACGAGTTTACACCATCTTTCAAGTGATCAAAATTTTGAAAACAAATAAATTAATTGAAGAAAAAAAGAATCACTTGTTACTTAGATACTAATAACTGTTCTTTCTATATTTTCACAGAACATTTCGTAAAATATCAGTCAACTGCTTTTTTGATTCTACGTTTTTCTTCTGGGGAAGTTCTCTTGTTATAACGTATTTTATAATTGTATATTTTATTATTATTTTTTTTT